TTGCCCTATGTGTGTTACCTATATGTATACATTTTTATATGGGACTGTTACGGTCCCATATGGGACTATTACGATCTTACGTAGAACCTTCATGGTCCTTCACTAGACCTTCATGGTCCCATATGGAATACCTATGGGAATTTGCGGCAGGGCATCCTCCTTTTATACTCTCTCAACTCTAGAATGTTCTCGAAACTTTTCTATAGGGAAGTGACGTATGAGAAGGAACATTCCAGAGTCGTGAGAGCATTCGGATGACTTTTGCTTTCAACAATATGTAGTTGTTGACAAGATTCCACGTTTGTTTTTCGGGCTTGGGCGTCCAGTAGCGTGCGTACATTCGAATTTCCCCCACACAGCGCCGGGAGACGTTTGGCAGTAGAGCGCTTCACCCCGTAGTTCGCGCGGTGGCCGCTGGGCGGCGCGCGCGAAACACGGTGCGATTAATTATGGTCGGGCAACTCCGAACAGACTTGATATAAGTATAAATGGCGTCAAGTTAAATAAAAATTATGTATGGTGTCTTATTATTCAATTACTATTACTTGTATAAAAGATTTGATATCAGTAAATGGCGTCAAGTTAAATAAAAATTATGTTATTCAACCTAAGTGATGTGTATATCGTTTGTATAAAATATATTTGTTGTCAATAATTGGCGTCAAATTATACTCTCATAAAATGATTAATTTACAAACCGAATGACATGTATGTACTGTGACCGCACTTTTCTCTTGTATCGGACTACAAGATCGGTCGTTGACCGGCACTAATCCGGCTAAATGCAACGATTACATTAACTCGCAATTACGCGGCAACCAAAAACGCGAAGTTGGGCGCCAGGCACGAGCGGGCGTGCCACCCTTCGAATTATTACGCGGAATCGAAATCTCGAACGCGGTAGAGGGGCGGTTCGTAGGGTGCGGAGGAATGTGGAAGAGCAAGGGCGAGATAGAATACTCAAAATTTTGGTAATAGGTAACAGATATATTTGAGTGTGCTGGAATTCACAGGCGATTCGTTCGGCCGCGACTAACGCCGCGGCAGCCGCCGGCGGTATCGCCGAGGGCGCGATTCGCGCGCCCGGC